TCACATCCAATAGCTGCCCGTTCAGCTTTGTGCTACTGAGGGTCACAACTCTGAGAAGCTGCACTTTATCAAGACCCATCCTACTGTTAATCCGTCCAGCCTGTCCTTCAAGGCGTCCAATAATGGAGATGGCACAGCCCTTTCTGTCCTTCACTACTGCAACCTTCCACACTAATACTGATCCTTACTGCCTCTTACTCCTCTGCAAGGAGTGTGAAAATCCAGTCGGTTCTTCTCACATGACCAAATCCCTCCGCACTCCCTGGCCTGTCACTCTTGACTCCTGTCCTGCTGGTGTATTTTATTCCAAATAACCAGTTCACCTGGATGAACAGTTCTCTTCAAATCACATGATTTTTGCCTCTGTTTTAAACTTTCATTTACAATATAGAGGTAAATTACCTACACTATACAAATGAGAGCTAGTTAACTAAATGTTAAAAGGCATTACCTCTGTACAAAATCCTTTGAGGGAAATATTTTCAGCCGAGAGGCTGTGGGACCAGGATGCACAAGTCAAAGAAGGATCGGGTGAATGATACAGATTGCACTCCCAGCACTTGATGGAGAAGCAGTCATCAGCAGGGACAGCTTCTGCACCCTGTCCCTCATTGCATTGCATCCTTGTGCAGTAACAAGAGGGAAAGTACTTTGTTCACCAAGTCTTTCACCTTCCTCTTCAGTGTGAGCACTGCAAGAGTTTCTAAATACAGCAACAACGTGCTGCTTTGGTAGTGGATATATCAAACTCTGAGGTATAGTGCACCTCGTTGCTGTAGTACCGCGCAAAGCCAACTTCATCGGGTTAGGAATGACTTTCTCATCATAAAAGTGGTGATTAAACAAACACCCAAAACTTCTTTGGTATGGGCTTATGTCAGGGTTTAGCCAATAAAGAGGTGACCTCTTTATCTGTGAAACTGCTTCTGTTTTAGTGTTCGGTGAGTAAATAGTTTATACTCACTACAAAATTAACTGCGCTGGTACAAAGGTAGATATTGAGGAGGTGGTAAGTTTTGCACAAGACCTTGTTCTGGTTCCTTGCAGATGTGCAAATCTAATCAAAATGTACCTATGTACATTGGAATGGCTCCAAGAGAGCTGAGAGAGATGCCCTGGATGTTCCCCGTAGTAAAGGACAGGTGTATTAGTTTACAAAACTGTTGGGGTTTTTTCTGTACATGAAGTCAATTAAAATCAGTTCTACAACTAGTTACCTTGGATGTCCATGATAAGCCAGAAAAGTTAGCACTAAAATTACAAATTTAAGTAGATGGGTCGTGATATATCAGCTGTAACCACCTTGCAAATAATTTCTATTACTGCCCTAGAAATAGTTTGATCAAGGAGTCAGTTTAATCCAGAATATTTACTGAATTAAATACCATGGCGGTGTATTAGTAGAGACAGTGATATTAGAGAAGTTTTAAAAAATCTAGCTGCTAGAAAGGAGTATTTTTAGGATAAATCTAAGATGTTTGTTAAAACATTTCAATCCCAATTATGCACCAGCTCTCTTGTGGAAAGTTAATGATTCCAATGAAAACAAAGGAAGAACACTGTATTACAGATTGTTTGTCTTCTGCAGTGTAAAACATTTGTTAAAGGATTACTTTCTCTGCTTATATTTACATAGTTAGCAATAAAGATTTTTAACTTCAAGCTATTTTTCATTTCCTGGTACATGTTAGCTACAGCATTTGCTAATGTTCTGTTTCAATGAAGTACCCGTCCTGACTGAACATGAGGTGAACAGGGAAAGCTGAAACTGGAAGTTAAATTATGACACGACAGGTCACACTCCCATTGCTGTGAAGGTGCTGCAGCCAACATCACCAACATAAGAGTTGGTCTTTCCGTTTGGTCGGATCTTTGTCTTCCAAAGTCGACACCCCCTTTAAACAGGGATGGCAACAAAAGGACAGGGCGAGAGAAACTGGGGGCATATAACTTCCCAGTGCTGTTTGCACACCTCTGGTTGTTGTACAGACCATCAGGTGTTCCCTTCTGTTTGGGGAACTCATTCCATGGACAGCAAATGCCCAAGCTGCAGAGCAGCTTCTCCCTGGCCTTTTCCCTCTGCTGAAGTGGGATACAAAATCTAGAGGTCTTTCACATATCCCTCCTCGTACTGTAATCCGGGGCTCACAGCTTTCCCCTTCCTCGCTCCCTCCGCAGGGCAGCTGTGCTGGGAGAAACCTCCCCAACGGGCTTAGCAGGGGCTGCCCGGTTACCCAGCACATGCAGACCTTTGTGCTGTTATTGACACGCGAGGGCTTTACCTGAACCTTATTTCATCCGCAGGTTCTTCAAGAGCAATCCGCTGCGATTGTTTCTCTTTCGAGCGTTGGATCGGTTGCTCTGCAAGATGCCTGCTGCTGCCTCTGCCCTGCGGTGGAAGCAGTGTGACTTTTCAGATCAGGTTTGCAGATGATCACAGGAATAAATTCAGAATTTGTTTCTGCAAATAATTTCCGATGTCTGCTTGCAATTTGCTGTTTCCACAAAAATTTTTGGCAGTGAACATGTTTGCTTGGATTCTCACAATTGTTTTGGTAAGCATATTCTTTCCCTTGACAGGCCTCTCTTGGCAAATATTTCAAATTCCTGTCTTTCTCTTTTTGTATTTGAGCTTTTCTCAGGTTTTTTAGCTGCAGCTCTCTATTATTTCTAAGGGTGTCTCTACTTGCTAGTATGTAATGCAGAATTCCTAGGATTTACACAGAATTCCTCCTCTTCCTTAAAGATATACAGGAGTTTATGGCTAACAGCAAAGTGTGAAAGACTCTGAAAAAACCTAGAGGGAAATAAGAGTCAAACTGGTTATAAGTAAGTGGGGGGAGGCTAAACTTCTGTAGGAACTGGAAATTTCAAAGTTATTTCATGGTAGGTCCTAAATCAGGGTTAATAACAAATTAGGCATTTTATTTCAGTACTGATGTTCTGTAGTGGTAAACTTTGGTAATGCTGAAGCATTCATACAGCGTGAATGTCTTAAGGTTTCCAAAATTAATTTTGATTTTTTCAGTCCTTAGACCCTGGACCTTGGGTCCCCCATCTACTCACTAGTCACCTGCAAGGAGCTAGTTACCACCGGAAGCTTTGGAAGTTCAGTATACAGCTGGGAGAAATCAGGGCCACAGCTCCTACCGAACATGCCGGGCTTCCCGCTATGTTATCTCGAACTAAGGTGTCAGTGGAAAACTGTTTCACCCTAAAACTTATAATCGACTCTTGCCAAGAGTTTGGTGCAGCGGTTGTGACTAAGACGACAAGTGAGAAGGTTCATATACTGGAAGGAACAGAGCTAAGAAAAGGAACTGGGCAAATAGAACTGATATAGGCACCTGAAAATATGGAGCCAAGAGTCACCAAATGGATGGGCGGGGAGGGAAGGAGAACTCAGGATTGGAAGATAATTCATGGATGCGCAGTGGCGTGCATGGGAACAGGAGCACGTGATCACTTTTCTATAGAGCAGTGTCTTGTGTGTCTGTCGATTTGTTTTGCTGCACGAGTAAGCATCTGGGGATGAAAATATGATCTAATGTGTTGACATAATTTTTGTTAAAATAAAAGGGAAATAATTGGAATTTTTCTGAGATGTGACGATGGTCTGATTCTGACATTCAGTTTCTGCTCTTGCCTACGTCACCTTTAAGTGGCTCATGTGAAGATAAAGAGGGGGTTGATGTGGAAATACAGGGGAGAGGTGAACAGAGGTGGAAAGCTTATCCAATTTTGTTTAAAATATTACTCTTTCAGTTATTTCGCTGAAAATAATAAAGAACTGAAAACAAGATTTTACCATAGAGGAGCAGAGTAAATGAAGAATACCAACTAGTTCTTGATGTTTTTTTCTTTTACATATAAAATGATGGTTAATATTCATGACAGAATTCAGTGTGTAAGTGGGAGGCTCTTATAAAAACACTTCAATGTATCTTTTTTATTAAATAGAAATTAAAGTGGCAGCTAGAGGAGTATTCTCCTAGTTCTTTTACTAGTTTTGTTGTGCAACTTTAAGCAAATCAGTGAAATGACTGATGCCTCAGTTTCCCCTTCTTGATAGTGACAAAGTAAAATGAATCCCTCGGAGTGCCATGTAATTAAAATAAATGTTTTTAAAGCGTCTTGAGACAGAGCTATAATCCGTTATTTCAGTAAATAGATCTTGCTTCCCTTCAAAAATTTCTGTCCAAAACCTGTTTTATTTTTCTCAAGCATTTGAAGCATGAACACTTGTTCTGGCTTTGATTCTTCTTTAAGCGTGCAGATTGCTGAGAGCAGTACTCTCTTTTATCTGTTTGCTGAAGCACAGTGACTTGTTTCCACTTGTTCCTGGCTGGCTGGTGTTAGGACCCAGACAAGAGACAGCACAACGTGATATAAATAGAGTACCAGAATGGGACAAAGTTTGAGAAGAAAGCATGACATCACTCAGACTTGCTCTCCACCCAACAAGATCTGGGATGGAGGTGCAAACGTGAGCCGAACAAGCGAGGAGCTAGCAACTCTTTTCAGCTCAGTTTCTGAGGAAATCGTGAGAGTCACCCGCTCTGCGTGCTATAAGGAAGTGCATTTTCTTGCTAACAAAACTAGAACTGGCTTCAGTTCTCTGACAACGTGAAAGTAATTGAAAGGAAAAGACAACTGTAGGAAGAAAGTTGAAAACAAGAGCTTTGCTTTTTGGCATAGATTTTAAAAGAAATATTTGACTTCTTTCCATGGAACAGTACAACTTTCGGATCTGATGCATGTTTCTTCTAATTTTTCTCCAGTCGCAGTAATTTATTTATAGTTAAATGAAGAGCTCAGAGTGTGAAGCAAGCAAATACTACTCAAAGGTCTGGAAGGATATTTTGCTATTGCTGAAGGAACAGACTTTTTGAACCTGCATGGAAAACGTTTTTTTTAGTACAAAAAGTAACAAAGGAAAACTTATGATTGAAATCTTACAGGAATTTTATTTCAGTTGTACTTTTAACCTTAAATAGACCATGGAGAATTTATTATCTCTGCTCTGTTGTCATTATTCTTTGCTGATTTTATTTCAGTACAAATACCAGGTAATGTTCTGAATACGGTCAGTACTGAGATGTATTTAGAGTCTTCTTGGCAAGTTTTGCCTCACTGTGTCTCATTATGTAACGCTTTCTGTGCAGGTGTATGGAAACTATTCCCAGCTACCCAAGCATCCAGGTAAGGGATGTTCTATTTACTTTTTATGACAATGAGCTTAAATATTTATTTGCTTTTTTTGGTTTGTATTTTTCACTTTCTTGGTAGCTCCGAAGAAACTGTGATCCTGTGTTTGAATGTCAGTTCTGTATTAAAAGTGTAATAAAGCCTGAAGTAGCAGACTGTCCCAGTAATTTTAAATTCACTAACCTACCTACTAAATATTCTGCATAGAAATATATTTGGAGAAAAATGGATTGTATTTGATAGGTAGAGAAATCCTATATACAGTGTTTGTTTATTATTACATCTTTTTGAGCATGAGTTTCTGAGTCAGACCTCTACACAGACTATTTTCTTATTTTCTCACTGTCGTAGCGTTCAGCTCTTTCCATGTATTGATTTACAGTTAGATATGCCAGCTTGTATACTTCGCAGTACTTTGGCATGGCTACAAGTCATCTAGCCTCCTTCCAGCCTTCATGCTTAAGTTTAAACCAGTTTTAGAGCATATTAAGGGACTCTCATCTGGTTTCAATGTAGAAAAAACTTACTCAAAGCTTATTTGGGGTCTGTGTGTGTAACTGCAGAATTCTTCTGTTTATATAAATAGTTTAACCTCAAGCCTCATGGTGGTGTACAAGTACAGTTTTACTGCTTTACCAATTCATGTATTGCTTTGTGCTTTTAAGTTTTAACCACGTGAAATTATTTTCAAAATAAAATATGAAGCAACGTGGAAAAGCCACGTTGTCTGCAACTGTAGTAGCTTCAGCCTGATTAGTTTCTTTTGTTCTACCTTTGCTCAAAACCAAAGAAATAGTCTCATTTCCTATGGATGAGGATCCATCAACTGATGGAACAATAGGGTGAAAAAATCCTCCCACACTAAGGGGGCAAATTACACAACATGTATTTTGTAGTGCGGTGTGTGTGGAGAAGCGTAACTGAAAGCGATGATTTTGGGGTTTGTACTAGGCTGTACACAAGTCCTGTGATTTTGTTCTAAACACAGAGTAGTTACCTATTGAAAGGATATTGCAAGTGTAAGTTGAATTCAAGGTGGCAGGTATTCAGAAGTCTCAGAAGTCTTCTCAGGGCTGGTTGGTTGGAAGTGGGGTAACAGCATGGCTTTATATAGGTCAAAACTGGGAGCTGGGAAACTCACTGGCATGCAGCGTGGCTCTAGACAATTCACTTTACTGTTTATCTATTTATCTTCCCATATTTTTCCCTGTCTTTTTTTTTTCCTCCAGCTTTTAAATATAAGCTCTTTTGAATATAGCTCCTCCTTATGAGTTTGATGCCAACCATGGCAATGGCTTTGTTGTGGTGCTGCTACTACTACTGCTGATGAACTACTTGTGCCACATCGTGACACAGTGTTTTGGCATCAAATAATTTTCTCCTGGGATTTTTCTCCTGTATTTGTCTCTATTTTTTTTCTCCCTACCACCTCTCTTAACTTTAATCCTTTTTATTACCCTGTTACAAAGAGACGTTAATGGGAGCGAGGTATGTTTGCATATAAGCACCCTGTGAAACAGCAGGATGTTCTGTGCTCTGCAAAATGGAACTGGTAGTTTGTTGAAAGTCGGACGGAGGTATGTTAGCACAGGATGTGTATGCTCTTAATACCATAGAAATTTATAGCTTTAATATCTTTTGCATCAGCCAGCATATGTTCTTTAAGGGTAGAACTAAGCACACACTCAGATTTGGTTTATGTAAGTGCAGAACCCTTGTTCCTATATCCTGTTTCCTCAGTGTGCTTCGCCACGCTCAGCTTAGTCGAGTTTGTGTTGCGTGGAATTTTCAGACTGGGTTTTGTACGTGCTTATTCTGTGTCATTATTCTCTTATGTTGGCAGCAGCTTTCTCTTTTGTTAGCAGTTGTGCCTTTCTTTGTATCTTCCAAATATTCAAAAGAAAACATACAGCCATAGAATCTCATCCATTTCTCTAAAACCATGTCTGTCTTATCTAGTTATAATCATAGTCCCGCTCCATGGAAAAACCTCTGGCAACTGCAAACATTTCTAGTTAGGCAGGCCAATAATAGGTCCTGATGAATTACGAATCATTTGTTAGGTATCTTTGGTATAGTTGAGTTTGGAAGCAAGTCTGAGTAGCTCACGTACCCTCACCAGATGCAGAGCTTCTTTTAGTTCTGTGCTCTCAGATCTACAATTGCTTGTTGTCATGTTTAGCAATTTTATCAGCTTTGCACCCTTACTTATAAATAAACTTAGGATCCTCTCAGTGTCACAGCTGTGAACCTATGCCACGAGCATATGACATCAACCTGGTCTCCACTGTGTGAGCTAGGCAGTTTAAGGATGCAAATAATATTTTTCCATCTTCATATCCATGATAAAGAAATCCTATTTGTAGCCAGGATGGTAAGATGATAGAATAATTATGAAATAGGCAAGCTGTTTTGATCCCGAGTGTGAAGAAAGATGTGGGATAGTCAAAGGACACTGTTTGTCATGTGTTTTAATTTGCACACTGGGTGTGGGGATCCTTTGCATGGTGTATGACAGCTGAAGTGGTTTTTAAGAAACTTATTTCTATCAGCTTTCCACCTCAGGTTCTTTAAAGATGGCTTGGGAATGAAAAATAGTTGTAGGACAAAAAAATACAGATATGGTATAATATAATACTTGTTCTCTCTGTTCCTGTTGTCCATTATCCTTGTCACCTTCAGCCTCCACCTGCCCCCCCCAGCCCCCCAAAAAACCCCTAGTAGGATGATATGCCATGATGATGAACAAAACACATTCTCATTTGTGTTCACAGTAAAATTTCTGTGTATCTGTATCAATGTTCTAAAACTTTCTTAGATATAGGAGATTACAAAGTCATTTAAGCATAGCTGGTTAAATTAATTAATTTGAGAATAAAGAGTTTATTTCAGCTAACAAGGTAATAAGAAATTACAGTTCATGTTTTCCTACATTATTAATGCTCTACCCTAAAATAGAATTGTTAACACAAAATTTGATTGTTTTAGGCAGCCTGCTTCTGGTCAGGTTTGAGTGGCCACATCTCCTAAAATCTGATCAAACTCAATCAATTAGATTGTGCAGATAAATCTGCCAGTGGAAACCAACAGATGTTTTGCTGTTGTCAGCCTGTCCCTAAGGAGGACATTTAGGAAAACAAAGTGTTGTCATCAGCCATAAGGAGTTGTTCTGGTTTTGGTGAATCTGAGAAGGTTCTGAAGGAATAGGCTAATGCTGAATGGAGACCAGTGAACTCTTCCATATGTTGCTTAACATTCCGGAACCCCTTCTCTTGAGGAACATCCTTCTGTTAAAGGATACAGATCTGGTGTACGACTCTGTTAAGGTGTGAGTTATCAGGAGACACCTGGAAGGCCAGACTCTGCAGTAACCACTGTGCAGGCACCTATGGTGTCATCTACATTGCAGCTGCTCCACCCCGGAGTACCGCTCCTTACTGTGTCTACTAGTGTCTCTACAGAGAGAACAAAGGTGAAAAAACCACTTGGATTAATATAACCTGAAGGTGTTGCACTGCTTTTCCAGTGGGATTTGGAAAGAGGACAAGATTCCTGGGAACTCTCTAGCATCCTCTACTCTCTTGAACTGCAGAGGGCTGAGTTACCTATGGAAGAGGCAGGAGCAGAAGTAGTGTGCTATAGAGACTAAACATTCCCACACGCATTCCCTTCTCAGCGCTTTGCGCTATCCACCGTGTGTTTAAAATCTTGAATTTACTTTTGAATGACTTCTCAGCTGTTACTTCGACGAATGCTGCCTGACGCACTGGCAGAGATTGGGTTAGAGACTGTTACACATTTGAAGTGCAGTTAGAATAAAACTCAGTTGAGTTTTAAAGAGGGATTTTCTTCAGTGGTCAATCAGATATATGGCTTTAATCTCCTGCTATTTTGATTTATGGCCTTGCTTATGTGTAGCATTTGATTTACATGAAATATCATGTTTTATTTCACCTATTGAACTCGTTTATTGTTCTCTCCTGTGGAGACTTGTTCTGATCCTTGCTGGGCCTTCCTTTAATAATCTTTTCATCTCTGTTTCTTGAAAGGGTTCAGCGTTCTTGCATCAGCTTCCCATTACTGGCCATTGGAAGATGTGGATGGAATTCATGAGTTTCGGGATACGAATGGAGGTAGAGAAAGGATTCGTTCACAATGGCAATAACATAAGTATTTGTGACAGTCTAAGTAAAAGGGGAGCAGGAGACGTGAAAGGGGTTAGCTTGTGTGCCACAGCACTTGAGATTTTGTTTTTCAGGTAATGTTTTTGCAGTGCTCTGATGTCCAAATTATATTGTATTTGTGAACTGATTTTTATGGAATATTCTTGAACGTTTTATGGGCTGTCTACACACTGTTGAGGTTATAAAGAGAAAAGCTTTATGATCCAAAGAGCCATTGAAATCACATTATTATTAGTTGGTTTGGTACATGCATAACATGCACTAATACACTCGCTGACTGAGATCTTTGGCTATGCCAGCAGTGAAGATATCTGCTTTTTTTTTCCTTTTTGGAAGGAGTTAAATGCCTGAATTCTTCAGCCACTTTTCAAAATTGCATGTAATATCCACACACAGAGGAGTGTAAGCTCTTAGACGAATACTTCTTACTCATTCCTGTGTGCTTTTGGATATTTCCTTAAAAGCAATATTGCAGTATTAGTTTAAACTCTTTTTGCAATCAGGCAAAATAAAGAGAGGTTTGGTAAGGCAAAACTCTCACTGATTTGAAAAAGTCAGTTGTCAGGACTGCAGGATCCCAGAGGGAATGATATTAAAAGGCAGTCTGGTTGGCTTCAGCCATTTTCTGGTTCTGATGTTTCATGTTGAGAACAAAAAGGGTGATGGGAGCTTCCTGGGGATGTGCAGGTGATGTAACTAATGGAGTTTCGACCGAACCACTGTATCCTATTGCAGCATCATGGGCTTGCGGGGCCATTCCTTTTGGATGAGATTTTCAACTAGGCTCTGCCTCCTTCTGAGACTCAAAAGTCCCTTAGTAATTTTCACATGAACTGTTTTTTCTCTTCTGACATTTTAGCCAATTCCAAGTTGGGCCGATATATATTCCCCCGTGTATCTACATCACCCTGTGGCTGACCACCTTGGCCGTTGAGCTAAACTGTTCTGTACTAGTGCAAGGGGTAGCTGCTGTGTTACTGCTGGTGACTGTAATACCTTTACCCAAGAAAATCACTGCAGAAAGTTAAATTAGGAGTTAGAGACCTTTACAACCTTACATGAAAAATGTTACAAAAGTGCAAAGTTATTGTGATTTATTACACAAAAGTGGCAACATCAATCTCTGCTCCTAAGTGAGCAAGAGATCCATAAGTGTCTAAAACCTTTTATTCCGGAGGTGTTTAAATATTTTAAGCTTAAACTTTGGCCCATCTTTCCACAAAGTTTCTTAAAGGAATGAAATCGACTGACCAGAAATAAATCTGGGCAATGTTCTGCTCCCATTAGAGGCTGATGGCAGCATTCCCCTAGACTTCAATGGAATCATAATTTGCCTTACAGAAAGTTACCACGAATTCTCTAATGCTGTGTAAAAGTAGTTTTCTGACACTGGACTTCATGTAGTTTCAAGAAGAGTAAAGCCACTCTGTATCTAGCGCTGTTGTGGCACTCATGTTACAAAGATGTTGTTTTGAAAGTGATTGAAAGCGATATGTAAAATGCAGCTCTTGGAACAATGACAATTTATGTTAGATTGTTTTTCAAATTATGTGAAATTACATTATTTCAGCAAAATTCAGGAATCTTTACAGTAGTATCTTTGGAGGAGATGAAGCAGAATATATCAGCTTCCTGATGCTGCATACCGTCACTTTCAGGAATGGAACTGGCTCACATGAGCAATCTCCTTTGACTTCTATTATGACATTGGGTTAAGTAAGTTTATAAATGAGCCAGCTGCATGACTTTGCTGAAAAAACTTCAGAGGACTTTGTCTCACTATTATTCGCCCAGGATGCCAGTAGCCAAAAGTCTTTGTCTCTGAAATGCAAATCTGACGCTGTTGCATTCTTCCTTTAACATTGTAGGGGATAGTTCAAATTCTTCTCAGTTGCTTATAATGTGTTATATTACAGATATTACTGCAACTGCCTCCAGCAGAAGTTTTATGTATCTATCTCGTATTTGACTTTGATATACAAGAAAAATTTTCTTTATTGTTGTAATCTAATGCAGGTGGCAATTTGCTTGTTTTGATACCATTCTGATTACACAACTCTTCTGTTTATGGCTAGAGTCTTTCTTGTTTTTCCACTCATTGTATCATGCATTTATTTTCATTCCATGTTTCTCCTCTTAAATCCTTGAAGCATCATAATCTGTCCGTCATGTTAATCCATTTTATTTGTTGAGGTCATTGTGTGTGAAGCCAGATTTATATCTCTCAATGTGTTTGTGTTGTGAGAGTGTCAGCAAATTAATTTTTTGGTTATCTCAGCAGTAGAAACGATTGAAGGGAAACAATCAACTTAAAATATAGCAAATTAAAAAAGATGTGGCCATGGTCAGTTTTTTCATCTGACCCCTTGTTTTCCATGCATTTTTCTCTGGAGGTTTTTATGTGTGGTTTTTTTTAAAAGCATTTACCTTTCCCTTCTGTGAGCTCAGTTGGTCTAAATCTCAAATCAATGTGTCTCTGTTTACTTTCACGGGCCTTCCATCAAGCTCTATTTGCCTACCCAGGGTAAATAATTACAGTGCACAAGATACTGTTAAATTATCAAAGTAAGAAAAAAAAACCTAGAGAATAAAATTTAATTGTCAGTTATATTAAAAAAATTGGGGTTTTATTTATGTTTAGGCGGGATTTCTTGTTTAATTTTTGCCCATTGCCTCTTTTCTTTCACTGGATGTAACTGAGGAGAGTCTGGCACTGTCTTTACACCGCCTGTCAGGTGTTTGTATGCATAGATAAGATCCCAGAGCTTTCTTTTCGTCAGGCTGAGCAGTCCCAGCATTCTCAGCCTCTCCTCATATGTCAGATGCTCCAGCCCCTTAATCATCTTTGTAGCCCAGCATTTCCATGCGTCTCTTGTGCTGGTGAGTCCAGAGCTGGACATGGGACTTGAATTGCCCATAGCTTTTGCACCAGTATAATGATTTTTGTTATAATTGCAGAGTTCCCTACCAGCATGATTGAATTTCAGACCCCTTCACCTGCAGTTGTACTTTTTATAGTGGTTTTTTTTTTCTCAGTTGCTGTAAGTAAAAAAAAAAAAAAGTTTTTGTGAGACTGTGTTTATTTAACTTGTGTAGTTAAAGAACGAACTATTCACGTGCATACACATCCTTGGGAGAAGCTGTTGTGTCATAATTTTAAAGGCCACTGACTAACATCTGTGATTTGTGCTATGTTGAGAGATATGAACTGGTCAATTCATTACTGATTGTTTATTCATTATTTTGCTTATTTGCTTATTTTCTTTTGTTGTTCCACCCAGCTCTAAGAATCCACAACTTCACTGTGCTTCCTTCCCATAACTCTACCTTTGTATATACCAATGACTCTGCCTACTCTAACTTCTCTGCAACTGTAGGTGAGGATTTATGTATTTTTTGTTCTCCATTTGTCAAGCTTGGATGGTTCTTGTAACATTGGATTCAAAGTTAACACTGAGTTTTGATTCAGGTGGTCATGTGGTGATGGCCTACTTGTGCTTACATTGGCATAAATTACTGAAAAAGCACTCCTGCACTGTTACCAGAATTAGTCCGAACTACGGGGAAAAGCATCCTATGGGATGCTAAGCAGCCCATGGGAGGATGGTCCCCAGTGGTCCTCCAAACCCTACGATAGTTGTATTAGGCTTAAAAGGAACAGAATACGTTTCAGAGGAACATATATGAACAAATAGGTTGCATTTTTTCTTTTATTTCAAGGCTAAGAGGAAAAAGAAGCCATTTATTTGTCACTATTTCATAATAATTTTGAAAAACACATAAGAAATACAAATGCAAGCAAATTTGTAAAGCCTGCAAGTAAGATCTTGTCAGTCATGACAAAAAAATCTGCAGAGATATGTCCATTTAATGTGGTGACTTCTTTTTTTTAACATCAAGACACCAGGAGTTAGAAGGAAGAACAGAAAATGACAGCTCTTCAGGCAGAAACCTGACAGATTGGAATCTAGTTACATCTATAGCAGAATAAGCTTAAAGTCATTTAATTGAAGTCACTAGGATTTATAACTGTGAAGGTGCAATTGAAATATGACTTCTTGTCCAGTTTATAATTAGGTATTAACTTACATCTCGTTTTTGGAAAATCTGACCCAAGGAGGAGGATGAACATGGTGGAACTGCACTTTGGGCTGCTCACACACTACGCAGTTTATATTACAATGCTAAACCCACTATTTTTCTCCTTCAGCAGTAAAAGTATGCTGGCAAATGTGAACTCTATTAATAATGAACTTCAAATGACCCTAATTCCTTTCAGTCCTCACTTATCTGCTTTATAGACCATTTACATAGTTCTCACATAATAAGATATATTCAGTATGAACATTAAAGGGAGTGACATCAGTGGCAAAGGAAATGCTATGGAAACAGAAATGCATTACCTTACGGGATTTATTCTGGCTAGATTACTTTAGAATTCAAGTAGCTCGACGAACCTAGAAATGTTTGCTTGACTCCATACTACTCAAAATTTTAAAAGAAACTAAATTTTATCTGTTGATTAGAGACAGAACTAGATGACCTCTTCCTCAAAGGGAGGGGAAGATGCCTGAAAACTGATGGTTGTATTGAGACTTGGCATGAACTAAAGGAATATTTGGACACCATTCAAGAGGGCTATGCCATGCTGTTGCCGTTTCCTTGAGTGGTGGTGTCCTACAGATGGGCCAGCACTGTGACCGCTGTCCTCATGCCTGACGGTTGTCCTCAGTTTGGAAACTAAATGCCTTTTTGCCCATGTCCCCGCTGCGTAAAGGGATGCACCATCCTGGAGCAGCAACAGCAGTATTTGTGATTATCACACTAGAGAGATGGCCTGTACCTAGCACTGTGCATCCTTAGCAGGATTTGCACTGCGCTCTGCCGTGTAAAAGGCTTCTGTGGAGTCAGGTACCTATTCTGTAATAAATACAAAGAGAAGCCACATCCCACTCTTCACGTGTTTTAGACCATTTGTGTGCTACCCTCATTTCCCTTACGATTCCCTTTTTAGATTTTCAAGTATCAGGCAGCACCTGACTGGCAATTTCTGCACCTCAGAGCAGGAAAAGCCTGTGTTCTTGTTGCTGGTGTTTCCCTTGGTGCAAATCTTCTCCTAACACTGCCCTTTTCAGAAGATATTATAGAGAAAGGTCTTAAGACAAAGGTCCTGAATCTCCACAGTCCTTGCAGAAATGCCTTCACAAACGACAGCGTTAACATGAAATTCCAAACTGAAAAATTACATTGTCTGCTCAGAAATAGCAGATAGAATATTCTGTGTTCTGTGGAATACAGGCTTTTCAACGCAGCAGGATTTTTTTGTTTTGTTTCTGATTTCCTGTTGTCTACATTGCTAAAATCAGTCCTGCTTTTTATCGTGGGGCAAATGAGGTGACCTTCACATCATCTATCAGCTGGACTCTCAGACCTCTGTGAGGTTTCCTATAGTAAATAAGTGTCATTGTTTTGTAGTATTAAGGATCATGTACTTTAGCTAGTAGGAGATCAATCAATAGTGCCTTTTTTTAAGAGGGAACACAAGAAAATTGCGATCAAATCAGAAGACAATTAGTCATTATCCATGTTAGACAAAGAAATAGCCTTTCCAGATGACAATAACACCATACCAAAGGATGTCTGAAAAGGATATAAATGGATATATATTCCTGCCTTTTAAATATATCTTGTCAAGTATAGTTGATTTTTTTTTTTTAATGAAAAGTGTCTATTCTGTTACATTTATGTTTGATTAAAGAATTTCTTCATTAACTCAGCCTAACAGTAAGACAGAGATACCTCTGTGTTGTCTAGTATCAGAAAGCATGATGTTTATTCAGTTTACTTTAAAATAATAATTTTGGGGTGTGTGGGTTCTGTCAAGGAGTCTTAGTCAATCAAGAATCTGAGTGACAGATATGAGTATAATTTTTACAAACTTGAAATGTGAGAGTTATCTATAGGGTTCTTAAAAAAAACCCAAACAAACAAAAAAACCCCCACCAAACCCAACACAAAGAAACCCCCGGCAAACTCAAAACCAACCAAACAAATAAACCAACCCAACCAAACAACAACAAAAGCAAAAGAAAACCTATAGCTGGCACAGTATAAACATATGCTGTATATGAGTTTGTTAAAGCCATGTTTCCAGAAAGTTTTGATTTATATAAAGGTTAAACTATATTTTGCTTTTCCTTTAGATATTGTAGAAGGAATGGTGAACAAAGGAATTTATGTCACTGAAAAGAAAGGAGTTACCTTTCTCTTCTTTGGAAGCTATCAAAATTCTTGCATTAGTAATCCAGAAGTTTGTGGACCTGAAGGTTAGTAAATTCATCAATTACTGTTTGCTTTTCTTTTGCTGTCAGATTATATTATTTAATGACCACTGTTTCTTTCCTTATTGGAGTGAACTCTCTAGAATTCTATAGCACTTCATGAAGCTGTGTGTTTGTCGTGTACCTCAATTTAATTTTTATTTTTGTTTCGTAATTTCATGAATTGAAGTGCACACCAGGAATTTCCACAGTTTTCTTGTGGCCAGAGGATGATCAGTAGCTACGGGGTAGTCAGTAGGATAGACAGTCAAAGGTGGAGGAAGCCAGCTCTGCTGCAGGCATGCCGTGTAACTTAGTCTCTCCGTCCACATCATTTAAACTTCGGCTCTTAGCCTGCAAGGAAGGATTAGCAGCACTTCCACACCTTTCACAAGTGTGGTGAAGCACTGGAAAAAGATGATGAGACACTTGGAAAGAGGGATCGTGTGATAGCAGTAACGGGTTAACGTGGTCAGCCTTGGGTGAGCCATTCCAGGGAAGTATGTATGTATCCAGAGAAGTGTGGCCAGCAGGTCGAGGGAGGGGATTCTGCCCCTGTACTCTGCTCTGGTGAGACCCCACCTGGAGTGCTGCGTCCAGCTGTGGAGCCCTCAATATCAGAAGGATATTGACTACTTGGAGCGAGTCCAGAGGAGGCCACGAAGATGATCAGAGGGCTGGAGCACCTCTCCTATGACGAAAGGCTGCGAGAACTGGGCTTGTTCAGCCTGGAGAAGAGGAGGCTCCGAGGAGACCTCATTGCAGCTTTCCAGTATCTGAAGGGGGCCTACAAGGGTACTGGGAGAGGACTTTTTACAAGAGCCTGTAGTGATAGGACAAGGGGTAATGGGTATAAATTGAAATCAGGGAGGTTTAGATTAGATATCAGGAAGAAATTAATCACAGAGAGGGTGGGGAGGCACTGGAACAGGTTGCCCAAAGATGTTGTGGATGCCCCATCCCTGGATGTCTTCAAGGCCAGGCTGGCTGTGGCTTTGAGCAACCTGGTCTAGTGCAAGGTGTCCCTGCCCATGGCAGAGGGGTTGGAACTAGATGATCTTTAAAGTCCCTTCCAACCCAAACCATTCTATGATTCTATTCTATGATTCGCCAGGGTGGGGAAGGACGGTGTGCAGATCCAAGGGAAATGCATGGCTTTTTGGAAAGAGGGTTGGATCAGTGTTTCAACATGTTACGGGTATGGTAAAGAAGCTGATGAAGGGATTGCAACTTGCTTACAACAGACCTCAAATTCTTCAGCTGGGGAGTTCGCAGCATTTTAACTTTAAATCCCTATCCATCAAGATCTAGCAAACTGAGACTGATGATGTTCATATACTGATTGATTTCTAGGAGGCCAGTGATAAGTGATTAGCATCTCCCTGGTGGTTATTTTATCATGTGTAAAGCATTTAGGGAATGGTGTGTAGATCATGTAAATTGATGGGTGCTGTCATGAGGATAAACAGAAAGTTCGGTCAGACAGGAAGATAGTCCATCATTAAATTATTTATTCTGCAATGATACAGTTTTTAACCTTTCTGTTAATTTGACAAAAAGAAAAGAGTATGTGAAATATTAAAAAATCATGTTCCAGAGAGGACTGGGTGTGGAATATTTCTGAATGGCTGTGGTGAGCTGTCTGAGGCTTTTCCATCTTTAATCATAAAATTATGAAACATATTAAAAAAATCATTGGTTTTAACAAGAAACGTACATAATAGTTTGAGGGCTTCATTAACTTGTGCTGGGCTATCTGGTAGAAAATTGGCAAAGCTCATACTGCCTTGACGGCCTGCAGAACTGCCAACTATAAAATCATCCAGAGGGAGATTTTGACTACATATGAAAAGAGCACAGTCAGCAGGTTAAGGGAAGTGATTGATCCCCTCTGTTCAGTAAGCGAGAGAGCGTATCTGAAGTACTACATCCAATTTCTGTCCCCTGATACCAAAGAGTGGCTGACAAGCCAGCGTGGGTCCAGCAGATGACTTAGGGGGCTGGACTATATGACATGGGAGAGGAGGCTGAGGCTTGTCCTTACACCAGGATAGAAAAGGGAATGCTAAGGGCCATCTTCAACTACCTGACTGGTGTTTATAGAAGCAGATGGAGCTGAACAATCCTGGAGATACACAATGAAAATGTGACAGGCAATGCAGGCACATGGTAGCACAAGGAATGCTGATTAGATCTAAGGAGAAAACTTTCTTTGCCATGTGGGGGTGGCCCAAGCATCAGGATGGCTCTCACAGAGAGGCTGTGCAGTCTGCATCTGTGATAACATTAAAATCTCAGCTGAGCTCTAAGCAACCAGACCTAGCTCTGAAATTGGCCCTGCTCTGAGCAGGCAGTTTAGGTGATATTCAGGGTCGTTGCCAACTTCATTCATTATGACTTTTATGGGAAAACCTCTTCCACTTCTGCACTTTATAAACTTTTTCTTAACCTGCTCTGAACTTGGATTTTATTGTTAGGACTTTGTACTATATATTCCAAGACGAACATTTTTTAGGAGCTGTTTAGTTGAGCCATTTCCTTTGTAATTGCATTTGAGTGCAGAAGCTCTATAGCAGAGCCACTATGAGCTCCTGAAGTGGGAGGGAGGTTTGATTTGCTACTTGTGTTTCAGTCAAGCCTTTTGAGGTAACCTTTATTAAAGAAACAAGCCATCTTACAGAAATCATATTTCTTCACTAATGTGCAATCTGAAGAGCTCTTCACTTTTACAGTATAATAGTAAGACGTACTGTGAACTGAAGAGGATTATTTGTGGACTAAGTTAATCACACGTGCACTTGCAGGATTGCACTTGTGTTTTGGGAAGAATTCTTTGATTTTTGTGTAGGCGGGGACCTCAGAATTTTCACTGTGGCTCTGCATATGGTGCTATCCCTTTCTTTTACATTGATTCTTTGCTTTCAGCAATTATAGGAGCGCTGAAGTGTGAAAACACAGGTAATAACATGCTTAGAAGAATTAAAGTGTAATTGGCAATGGATGCTGCTCAATAAGCATGGGCATGCTGGCAGGCAGTTAGCACGTCAATAGCCTGGAAGCAGTCAATGTACTATTTTTGGCTCTGCTGCCATTTGCTGAACATCATGATGTAGATGCTGGTGGAGGATATGGAGAGATGAGAGCAACTTGTGTTTTGAAATAAGTGAAGATCACAGGAGGAAAAGGGGATCATCACAGGAAGGTGAGAAGGGTAAGGAGATTGGAGAGAGAAGGCAAACAGAATGGAAGCATAAGTCTGTAAGGAAAAAAGAGATTTCATTGCTTTTGGTGCTCCAAGATCTCCAGTTTTAACTGATAGAAGTTACTCAGGAAGCAATGATTACTGCTATGTCCTGAGTATGCTCCTGGGATGCAAAGCAAGAGATGTTTATTTGGTTTGAACTGTTAGAGGATTGTTGATTTTAAAAATGCTGTCCCTGTTTATGCTAGCAGATGGTCTGTCCTCAGAAGCATTCCCACTCTCTCTATTCTACAGTACCGGAAATTTTTAATTGCACATTTATGTGTGGGGGTTTTGTTTGTTTGTTTGTTTTTTTTAATTAAAACCTCCTCTCACTTGCTTTCATCAGGAGTAACATTTTCCTTTTTCTGGAAGACTCAAGACCAGCAGGCTAAGTTTCTCCCTGCCTCTGGTGGACAAGTAATTTCCAGTGGTTTCAAAATCTGTTCAAACGAAGGTGAAGGCTCGGTGGAATTTTACACCCGTGGGAATGCAATGATGAAGTGGAAAGCAAGCTTTAGTCCACCAGGTGAAGTTTGTAATTTTTTAAAATAATTTTCTTTGTTTTATTTTACATTTGTCTTGCAGAGAAATATAGTGGTAAGAGCACAGCTTCAGGAAGGAGAAGTGGATATATAAAAATAGCTAAAATCTCTGTGCTCAAGAATGCTTTTGATGGGGGGAGAGAGGTAAAGTACAAACTGAAAAAATAGTCCTATTGTATTATAGAACATTTGCCATTCAGCAACAGTCCTTGGACCCAACTTCCAGCTCTTTCTGAAGTGGAATTTTTATTGAGATCAATAGATTAAAGAGTGCTTAGATGGAAACGTAAGTGAAGAATGCAGGTTAATCCCTGATAGTTCTCAGTACACTCTAAAGCTGGGTGTGTGTGCTGTTCTCTACTGCCTCCTAAATTAAGACTTTATTTGGTAACTGTCTAACTGGGCGTTTAGTGCTTTGGTCATTTTGTTATCTGTTGAGTCTCAAGTTTTGTATGCTGTGGCATAGTATTACTAAACATTCTGGCATGTCACATATCTTCTGCTTCTATCTAAACTGTGTACTGGGGAGCAGTATTACCTCGTGATTGGAACAAATTCTGGTCTTCTAATAAAGCCAGTGGTGGTAACTAAATATTTTCTTGCCATAATTTGGTTACTTGTACATTGGTAAAATTGGACTTTCTCAGCTTGTACTAGCAGAGGTTTAAAAAGCTTAATAAATAATTTAAAAAATCTTATTCTAAGAGCAAAGCTCCTAAATGGTAAGAATAATTCACACATTTGTGGATTATTCAATCCAAATGAAAATTATGTTTTCAGCCTCAAATATAACGAAGAAACTGTGGCAACTTTTAATTAGTATCTTTGCTTGTTCTCCACTTTTTTGCAGTCTTTATGCACTTCTTGCTGAGTTTTGAGATAGTATTGAAGAGACTTCAAACCTTGGCCAATAATACTTAGCAAGTGTAATTTATGAAACTGCAGTGAGCCCAAGTAGGAGTTCAGACAAAAGCTAACAGGCATTCTGCCAAAGTATGGGCTTCCCCATGGGTATAAAGATTAATATACATGACATCAGCATTCCATAATTCATTCTTAGCAGTTCCTATACAACTCTATAACACTGCACAAGTCAGCAAAAACTTACTGAACAGGAATGACTCTAAACTGAATTGATTCATGGGTTTTGCTGTGATTTCTAATGTTTTGCAGGTCCTTATTGGACTCATATTCTCTTTACTTGGAAATCAAGAGAGGGACTGAAAGTCTATGTCAATGGAACTCTAAACACAACTGATCCAGATGGGAAAGTTTTCTATGACTACGGAGACCCCAGTGCAAATCTGCTGACTGGGACAGAGGGGGACAAAACTAAGCGCTACGTGAATGGAGCATTTGATGAATTCATTATATGGGAAAGGGCACTCACTCCCAATGAAATTGAACAGTACTTTACCGCTGCTATTGGTGAGTATATGTACTGTAGTCATAATTCATCTTCTGTAACGAGGCTCACTTAAAAATATTTAGTGTCTAGGATTTGTGTTCATTTTACATCTTTCAGCTACTGAACATAATTTTTACAGGCAGAAAAAGTCAGGTATGAATGTCAGTGAAATCGTCAGCTCTCTTTGGATGTGCAGTCTTTTTATCCTGAGTTCTAGCTCTTTAAAAATGCCATTGAAAATCACCAAGACTTGAAGTATCCAGCCATTGTCAGATGCCCTAGGATCAAGAGAAGAGGAGTAATAATTAGACTGGAGGCAGAACAGTATTAGGAAAGAATGACTCTGGATTTCTAACTTACACTCTGGTTGTTGTGTAACTTAGAGCCAAGTGAGTGTATTCCAGCAGATGTGGATAATAACGGTTATCTCTCCAGTTCCTGGAAGATAATGACTTATTAACTCATGTATGCATGTGAATTAAAAATAAGGATATCAGCTGAAATGTAATTTGAAAGGCAAAGAATCAGGATTAGAGCAAAGGCTTTGACTGTCCAGTAAACCCTGTCAGTTGTTCTATGGATCTTTATAATGAACTTCTCACTACAAGAGAGCCCGTTGCTATCAAGTGCTTGTGTGTGAGCAGCAACTAGAAAACACCCATCTCGGGAATAAAGCTATGGGACATCTGGAATATTTGGCTTTGCTGGCAGTTTCCCTGCTTTCATTTATTCTTACTAGGTTGCTGAGAGCTGAAGCAGTTACACCCATAACTCCTGTGCTTTTAAACCCACGGGAATAATTTTCACAATGGAAACTCTTTGAATAACACAGAACTGACGTGTGCCTAGAAATGAGAATGTATGGGTCTGTGACTTCAGGTTTGATGATAGCAATCAAATAGATACAAAATGTATTTTGTCAAAAAAGAAAAACCAAACAAACTAGTTCATGTAGAACTGAAGTCACTGAAAAAGAAAAACCTCCATCTGGTTTATAACGAAGCAATCTATTTGCTTTGCCACAAAAATAATAGCAAGTGTGCTCAAGGTTTTTATTTTAAAACATTTTTATTTTAAGAAGTGATTCCTATCTTTCAAGACTAGATTCCTAGTCTTGAAAAAATCTGATTGGCAGAGTATTCATTTGATACAGGAAATAGTTTTAAAAATCTCTCTCACAAAAAAGTTGTATTAGCTTTATAATGTTTTGGTCATGTTGGAAAAAATGCTTTTGTGTTTGGCTGTTATGTCTTTCCCAGCAACCCGGGGTTAATATAACACCATCCAATTCAACATTGTTAACATCCTCATTCATGTATGTATTTCCCTAGGCGTGCAAGTTTTGCTTTCTTCAACGCTTCCATGGTCTGTGATGACAACCACTACAAAACCTGTGGTAGGACAGTCCTCTAACTTCTGTAATGTCAGAATGTGTCTATGTTAAGAGTAGCAGACCCTCCTCACTTTACAGTTTTCCTTACTGGCACTTAGTACCCCAGTTATAAACATTTACAGATATGTGTAGGGAGGATGTAGTAGCCACTATGGGAAGATGGGAGTACTACAGAACTCTTGATCTGGGACAGATAAGGAAAATTAGTTGTTAAATAAAATATTTTCTATATAAAAAAGGAAAAAAATGTAGAAAACTATGAAATAGTTCAATGAACTTTGAAGAGACAGGACGATCAAAAACAGTTTGTTATTTTTTTCTCTTATTTCCTTTAAAATTAGAAAAAAATCTCACTACAATAACAAAAATAGTTTTCATCTCCTTAGTAAATGCTTAATGAAAAAGATTTAAATAAAATTAATTTTTCATATGCAGAATACATACAATTAGCTATAAACAGCCTATGTGCAATTAGATGTTGGAGTGCATTTTCACTTTCTTGCTGGCTGCAGTGTCAGAGCTCTATTAGTTTTCTTCTTGCTCACACACTTTTAGGAAACCATGGCTGATAGGACCTGAATTGCTAATGAAAAAATGAAGCTGTGCCTGTATGTTCTGTTTATCCTGTCTATCTACCTGTGTGCTTTCCTTTTCCCTTGGCTTATGTAGCCTCCCCTGTGTAGTCTGACCACAGGAGTCTGCTATGCCTCAAACTCCCTTTTGGGGTAGAACAATAAATAATGACTGCCGTATGGAATAATTTATGATGCGCTGTATCTCCTGTAGCTCTCTACCAACGCCTATCATCCCATCATAACTAATCTGACCGAGGAGAGAGGGAACTTGCGCTCCCCCGACACCATGCTGGGCTACCTGGAGAACGTGTCCTTCAGTTTGCCCAACAAATCCTTATCAGAAAACACTGCTCTAAGCTTGACAGAGGTAAGTGTCTTTTTCACATCTGTGTGTGGAGCCAGATGACCCTGAAATTTCTCCAGAAGCTAGAATTTCGAATGTAACTTTTTTTTAACAGTTTTTGCTGATTGCAGAAAATACGTATGAAAAAAGCAGTGGCTATTTTGCAGAGTAGCAGAGGTGAGCTTCCACTGGAGAAAATAGTTTAAAGATCTCATTAGTTTTTGGGGATATTATTTAATGCATAAATTATAATTACCTGGAACCATGACCACACGTCAAAAATAACTGAGCAGTAGAACAGGAGGAGAAAATAATTTGTTAATTCTTTTTTTTCAGCTGCATGTGTATGCAATGAAGGACATCTAATTCTGGAAAAATATTCTGCATTTTTCTGCATGGCCCAGCTGATCCAAAATGCAGCAGTGTGTCACAGTGGCCTGTCAGGTGCAGGACATAAGGACACTGTAATCAGAGTAGTGGCAGCAGCGAAATGCAGGCGTGCATGAACTGACTTGGATGCAGGGAGCACTCTGTGGCTGCATCAGTCTGGCTCCTGGTAACTGCCCAAGTATAAACCTGTAACTTCGTATCTGTGAGATTCACACCTGCACTAGAGGGGTAAAAATTCATCAAATACTGCTGTCTGCCCCACCTTTTGTTAGCAGTTATTGCTCCTGTGGAAAGCAGAGGACAAGTTGTGCCTCTCCTCCGGCTTCTGTTCTGCAATTATTCTTGCTGGGCTGTGCAGTGGGAGAGGCACGCACCCTGCTCTGCCAGCTCTGCGTCGGAGCGGGAGAGCAGTGGGAGAGGGTCTGTGGTGGTTGTGTCCTCAGCTTCTGGCAGTTAATAGCTTTATCTCGCACCGGGTTCCAATCACAGCCAGGACTCCTGTGTAGACATAGCACAAATCTCCACTGAAACTGGTTCACGGGAAGATCAGGTCCAAAGCTTAAGTTAGTAATTTATTTTTGTTTAAGCTAATCCATAAGAAAAAAAAAAAAAGGTGTTTTCTGCAGCAGTCTGAGCTGAGGACAAGGGGTCACATTCTGCTAACATAAAGTTAGCCTTCTGTAAAACGATGGACATCTAATTCCCTGATTTCAGCAGGCTAGAAAGTTATTATTACAGTAATCAGCTCTGGCTTCTCTAGTGATTGTTCCTTTAAGCCTGCGGGTAATACCAGGGTGACAGGGATTATTTACTCAGACAAACAATATAAATAAATGCTTCTGAAAACTACATGGACAGCAATTGATAGTTTGTGGTAAAAGCTTAGCATTTGCAAACTGTAAAGCTTGGATTTCATGGATCATATTGTAATATGTAGCAAAAACCTTTCTAAAAAGCTCTAATATATTGTTTCCTTTGTTTTGCGGAAAATTTTATGTGGGCTCTAAATTGAAAATGGAACATCATCCTGTCAGATATTGTACCTGTTTCCCACATCATTTCAGTTGCCATTTGGTTGCTCATTCATGCTATCTGATGCTGCTTTGTGTGCCATGAAAGTGATTTGCAGACAGAAATGTGGGACATGATTATCTTTAGCAAAGCTATTTTGGGAAGTAAACACAAGAGAGTCCTGATCATACATACAGACTCTGTCATTTGTCTGATTGATGGTTGGGCTTTGTATTGTCTGCAGCTAATTCCCTGAAAGACAGGCACCGAGCATGCATGCTATTTTCTGTAAAGTTATCTCTGTCCTGATTGTCATATGCCTCACAGCACAAGAAAATTTGATTTAAGTGATATGCAATAAACTTTCTGATTACTGACACACATTTATAATGCGTTGCTTCTGACAAATCTGACTTGTGTTTTCTGTTATAATGCTGCTCTGCTTAGCAGCCGCAGCCCTCCTGCTTTCCCTCCCTTTTCAGTGTTCTAACACATCCTTTTCGGAGTAATTCTGGAACAATTCTGTGACCTGAAGAGAGATACTCACTGAATGCTCTGGGCAATTTGGGCTGGGTCCTGGGTTTAGGATCACTTCTGTGCATGCCAGGTAGAATTCCACACTGAATGTTTGAGAGGGGCTGCAAGGTACGTGCTGCCCAAACCTAAGCTCATATAGCAAAGCTCTGCTACTGCCTTACGTATTATGGCTTGTAAAATTATGCTTGGAAAAGTTGCATAGCTTTCTTCCACATTCCTCAGTGTAACTTCTCTATACTCTGTGCTTTTAAGATGTTTAAACAGAGAAGTTTAAGCAGGACATGTGTGGTTTTTTGTGGGGTTTGGGGTTTTTTTCCCTTTTAATTTTCTGTACTCCCTTTTTGATGCTTCTTGTTTTCATCAGCAAGACTCCTTAGGACAGGGACTGTATCATGCTGAGCACCTGAACAGTGCCCACCATGACAGATCTTGAATGCAGAAACAACCTTGAAGTACAAAAGTTAAGCACATAATAAATCGTACAAGTGATGGGACCCAGACATATATCTAGTGCTGTTGAAATATCTAGTCATCTAAGACTAAAAGAGGTATTAATGTCATACGAGTTTAGATAAAATGGTAGAGAAAGTTCATTTTGTGCTTAGTTCCAGTGTTGTCACCTCAGCTGTAGTATAATGATTGCACTTTGGGAGTTTCACTGTGGTGTTACTTTTAATAAATAAACTATTACTTTAAAATGTCACCGAACAGAACATGATGAACGTGCTGGCAGGTAGAAATGAATCTGTGACTTGAATAAAAATGGGCTTGTCATCTTAGAAGAAACTTAAGAAAATCCCAGTAGAGCTGTGCCTTGGATCTTTACCAGGAAAACTAGCTGATTAATAAGTAATCAAGTAATATAGTTTTATTTATCTTTTAGGCATTTTTAAAAGCTGTCGAAGACTTTATGTTATTGCCCAACTGGATTGATGTACCAGAGGTAAGACGAATGGGCCTAGATTTGTAGGTTACTTTGGTTGCATAATTTCACATGGATAGTGATGAAACTGCTTGCCTCTATTATTCTTCTTGTTAGGGCTTTTTGGCAGTATGACTTATTTATTTTCTTTAATGTCACACTCATATTTGCAGTAGAGATCCACAGACAAAAATATCATGTCATGTTCTTTTATAATGTGGTTTTGAAGGTTAAAATAAGGTAACTTTATCTGCTGCTATTTCCATGTATTTCAGAATGAATGGAACAAAATGTTATTTGTAAAATAACAGATATTGTCACTAAGTGTTTAATCACTCCTTTTTTAGCAGTGAACTTTGATATTTAAAAGTTTATGTTTGGTTTGTAGATTGATGATTTTCAATGCATGTGAAATACACAGTAGTGCTTACCTGTTTAATGAATTAAAGCTTTAAGAGATATTAAACCTAACATAGGGAAAAGAGACTTGTTTCAAAGTTCTTTCTCTTCTAGTCTACCTTTTAGAGTGCAGAGAAATACTTGTAGTAGGAACCCAGGAATTTCCAGAGATTTTTGTTTGAACCTTACAGGAGTACAGATTTCAGCACAGAGAGATTTTAAACCCGGAGAAGGAGAGGCTAAAGTAAATCAAGGTCTTGCTGAAGCCTAAAATGCTTTTAAGACAAAATAAACCTGTCTAATTTATTTAATTTCTTAGCCTAAAAACCTTGATCATCTCTGGTGTAAATAGACTTCAGATAAAATAGATTTCTTTCATTAAAACACCCTCAGGTTTTATGGATCAAGTTTCAACCTGGAAGGTTGTTTTCTTGGGGACACATAAACACTTTGGAAGTAGCTTCATAATGGGGAACATTTTAATAAAGATGCAAGAAAGGCCAAAATGTAGTGTCTCCTCTTATGTTCCAATAAAGACCTAATAAATGTCTTTACATATTGTCAAAATAATCTACTCTGTTCTTGGTCTCATTCTGCCGAATCCTGAGTATAATTGACTGTCAAATGCTGGTAGGAGCAGCGTAATTTGGAGACATTCTATAAAACACAGTACTTTATAAGGTCAGGCTCTGGGTGGCATCAATTTGTTAACATTTTATCCACTAAATGTGGAAAAGGTTGTGGAGAGTCACATTTGACTTTGGGCAGCTGAATGATGAGTCACACAGGAATTTAACATGGCACCTTGGCATTCTGTGCTATGAACTGCAAGTTCTGTTGTAGAACTTTCTGTTTCTTCTTCCCCCAGACTGCTCACATATTTGGAAGCTTAATTCAAACTATTGACAGTGTGATGGCTCACATGACGCGCAATCTGGACGAAAACTCATTACCTTTAACTGTTGAGGGCATGTCGACTGTGGCAGGTAGGATTTAGCAGAAAAGTTCTCTCTGGACTGTGCGGATATCCTAAACACTTCCATGCTTGCAGCTCCTCCTTTGACAACCTGAAGGAGGAAACCAAACCAGATAAGTTTGTGTTGAATACAAAATAGTCTTTCAGTTGTAGAAAGATGACTGTGCAGTTAGTCCAGAGGTAATAGGCTCTTACTGTACTTGAACTTGATGTTATTTGGGGAGGGGTTTAGAATGTGAATTCTATGAAACAAATCTAGTAACACTGTACGAATAGGCAGTTGAAGGGCCTAGAGCTCTTATGCAGCAGTTTGAAATTGCAGATGTCTGGATGCTACCAAACCTTAATTTTGCAAGGCTTTTGCAAGAGATTGCAAATAAGAGGAATAGTTTTGACCTTTCAGGAGAATTTTCTTTTACTGCTGTTTAGCATCCTAGCACCCTGATTTCATCTGTGTCTTTGGATGCTACTGGTAGCAAAGGTAATTTATCTGTTCTGGCTTTTTACTCTGCCTTCTTGAGACCTGTGTGAGGGGACAAATAACCTGAGCAGTCACCAGTACTGTTAATCACTGCATGTACTCTCTCGGACACTGGCATTCTCAAAAGGAGCAGTGGAAGTCTGAAATAATGCCTTCAATTGTCAGTGGAAGAGTCTGTTAACCTGTTTTGCTTGCCCGGGTAAGCTCAGTATTTGAGCATGAATGAAGTGATCTGTGGTATATTAACAGTGCACATACCACCTTCTCTGTCATAAAGGAGTAAGATATAAAAGGCAATTTTATATTTGGGGAATTTACTGTATTTTCTGCAAGCATCTGGGGTGTTAAATTCAAGATTTGCAATAGCTATTAGGGAAGTCTAGTTAAATAGTCAAGTAGGTTGTAGAGGCTATTGATTTTATCATAATTTTGTTTGGGTTTTCACACAGATTACACCTTGGTCAAAATGCATCCTCAGACTCTGAATTTGTCCCACTATCGATTTCCATCTCGAGGACACAGTTATATTTCCATTCCCAGTGAAGCTTTTCATGATAAAGGTAAGAAAAAACTTAGAGGGAGGAGCAGAGTCATGTAAAAAGCGTGTCCAAAAATAGTTTTGTTTGAAAACAGGTTTTGGTTTGCTTTATTTTTCCAAGTAACCAATTTGATCACTGTTCATGTTGCAGGCTCTAAAGAACCAGCAGTTACTCTGTCATACTGATTAATGATTAATGTGGTAGAATTTTCATATAACTTGAATTAATTTTGAATAATACAGCTGGGGCACAGAGACCAAAGCCATTTAATTTTGACATCTTTTTACATCAGAGACACTGTAATTTCAGAAGTTATTTTTAATAATCTGAACTGGTTATTTTTAAGAAATTCTAGGATGTCAGACCAGGTATTACTTTTCCCTTCATGCAAAATCACCCTTGAAATGTATGAAATGAAACTCCAAGATGACAGGTTTAAGCAACAGCAGCTACAGAAACAAAACTGCAGTCAAAGCAAAAATGTACCTAGGTAAAATTTTAACAATATCAAAAGAGATGGAGGTATGGCAAAAATCTGAAGCTCTAGTCAAGACTCTAAAATAACAATGTTTAAAGTTATTTATCTGTGTTTTAATTAGGAATTGAAGGAACCTATTTCCAGAAACATCTACCTGTGTCCTCAAATATATGAAACTCTGACCTATGTGCCCTAAATTGCAACCCATGGAATTTACATGTCCAGATACCTTTCCCCAGACACCTCTGTTGAAGGAAAGTTGGTCCCTATTCATCAAGTGCAAAGTCAGCTGCAGATAACCTGCAGTGAGAAAGACCCTAATAATTACTGCACTGTGTACCTGACCTGGGATGGCACCTAAGTTTCTTTGCACTGGCAGGGGCTCTGGCTGGAGACTGCACTGCAAATGCTCTGGGGTTTGAGTAACTATAACTGCAAACCAACTTGTAATTCCAAAAATAGCATGTGAGAGGACTTCTCTGTCCTTTCCAATTTGTAGACTCTGACATGCAGGGTTTTTTTTTTTTCTTCAAACATTATCATGCTTGGTATCCTGAAATAATTCAGCCCATCAAATGTATAACTCTTTTTTTCCGGCTAAAGCTTGATTCAGAGTAATTTCAGCCTTCAGGTCACATTTCTATACTGTCCAAAAGAGCTAACCCAAGAATTTATTAGTCCACCTTAAACTGTTGACACTATAAATGCTTGGAACCCAGCAAAAGGGATAGTGAAAAGATATCTGTGTGGCTGACAGAAAATACACATCTGTCTCTTCACTCAAGATCTGGAGAAAACCCTAAATACTTGGAATGCGGGCAGCAATCAGACAACCAAAGTGGAAACTGGTTGTCAGTGTTTGAGTTTCATGAACTGCCGGTTAATGTTGGTGATGGTGAAGTAGTCTTGAGCTGACTGAGGCCACCGTTGAGACACTGACACTGATATGTTGTGCGATGCTTCCTAGTGCTGTGTGGGGGATTAATAATTGACGACCGATTACTTTCACAACTTATTTTGGAAGTACAGCTGTTCAGGGCAGGGATCCTTCTATTTTACTTCTTATATTTGTCTCCTGTGCGGTACTGCAGAATGTTCATAACTTTTCATTTAATCAGAAATCTGCTAAAGCAAAGATAAAAATCTACAGAAGTCAAGGCTATGAATTAACACAGAGATTCAAGTCTAGTAGAGTAGTGTGTCTTGCTTACAACTGTTGCTCTGAGGAATAACCCTGTTCCCTTTTCACAGCTTGGATTACCATTGTCGGCCTGCTTTACCATAACATGCACTATTTCTTTCATAATATCAACCCTATGGACACCAAGTAAGTATCTTGGATCTCTCATGCTGTAACAGCTTGTTTATTACCTTAGTGATAGACCTTTAAAACAGTCATGTCATTATCAACTGTAAATAAATTACGAGCCATAATCCTGATTCTGCAATATTGAGGACATGTAGTCATTAACTAGAGAGAGATTAAAGCTTACATTAGATGTTTTATTTTATGTTGTAGTAAAATAGATTCCCGCAGCGACATGTTTGTCTGTCTTTGTCTTCTCCTTCCATTTATCATATCTGGTATTAGAATTTCATAATTTTAATCTGTCTCATAAAAGGAAATTACATCTTTTCTCCTGACACATATAAAGATAAAGCTTGCACTAAAATGAAACCAGTAAGAAAACATAACATCCTTCTTCAGATAAAATCTGAATCCTAGTCCTAGAAACCTGTAAGGTAATTTTACAACAGGAGACCAGGCAATGCTTAAAAGACCTTTTGTTTTATAGGCTGCATCAATGAAGTCATTAGCAGATAAGATAAAGTAAATGCAGAGCTGTATACCTCTTGGCAATAAAGTTCCCCAAGGAATTTTGCAAGGCCGTTCATGTAAATCATTACACTTTTCCTTTAAGTTAGTATGACTTTATGTTTTTATTTGATCTGTACTGAGGTAGGTAGATTAGTTTACACTTTCTCTCCATCTTTTCCAATCTGTGACTTTTTGGTGTGGTTGTTTGTGACAGCAGAAGGAAAGATGCAGCATCTCAGCTGTCACGAATGTCGCAGATTGCCTCCCTCCCTTTACATCTGGCTAGACGGAAGGTCATGATCATGGGAACTCACTGGTGAACCTCAGGGTAAAACCTCCTGGCTTATGACCAGGTAGATCACACCGAGATAATCACACAGCTATTACTAAATAGTGTTTTTAAATCAAATAGCAAGTTCTACTGTTGTTTACCCTGCTCGCTCCAAAAAAGGGCACTTGGCAGGTGGCTGTAAACGAACCATGTCATTAATGAGTAGCATTTTTTACTGACATGAAGAATTATAGGCAATAATTTATGACACCTTACGTTTTTCAAACAGGAGGACCAGTGCAATTTATTAAGCTAATAAGCTAAAATCTCGGCTTCTCAAAGAGAGAAAGAGAACTGATACAGTCTTGACTTAGACCAAAGTTGAGCAACACAATATGATTAAAGATGCTGCATGTCAAAACACCGTATTGTCATAGAGCCTGCGGCTCCTGGGGCTCTGATTTGGCAAAATGAAAGTTGTGTCATCTTTGTGTACATTCCCTGAATGTTGTGGAATAGGACAACCTGGAGACCCATTTGTGTTCCACAGAATGGTTTATGGTTTTATCACCCATTGTTGAGAAGGAAGGATCTTAAAATAAGTTAAGAGCCTGGCCCTGCTGCAATGTTAGAGAAGCAGAAAGACACTGGAGAAGAAATGTCTCCTAGATTCTTATAACTAATCCACACAACTTGAACTGTTTGCAGTATGTAAGGCACTACAGAATCACATCTATAAAATTACAGATCTGTCCAAAACAGGATCTAAAAGCTTAGTAATACAGGGAATGCCAGCTTAGTGATTTTTGCTCTGTGGAATCACAGCCCAGGTATTCAAAAAATGTTTTACAAATAAGCATGCAGTTCTCTCCTGCTTGGTTTTCTTTTTTTGTGCTATACTGTTATAACTTTTTTGCTTACATTTCTCTAGAATAACAATGTTTTCCCAGAGGAGTTTATAATAAAGACTTTCTTTCATGTTCCTTCTAGCACTGTGCTACTTGAACACCTGTAATTTGAAGCCTGCCCATTTTCTTCTTAAGGGCACTTTTTAAAAAATGTTGTGGTGGAAATTTAAAACCAAAACCCTTGGAGCTTTTGTGCTGTACAGACAGATGACTTCTATTTTCAGACTGCAGAAATAGCAGTTTCTAAGGGGAGTCAGTTTTGATTCGTTAAAAAAAAAATCAAAACAAAATTGTTTTGAGCCCAGTTCTGCTCCCGCTCATATACAGTGTGTAAATCTGTAGTAATCACACTGAAGGTAATCAGATGACAGACGCACTCCCATCTAACATCCAGGGCCATGGTGAAGAAAGGCTTGCATGTGCAAACACAGAACCAGAAACACTGTGTCTTTCTTGTCCTGAAGATTTTTCATGCTTTGAAATTCATCTCGCTCTCCAAAGTTAAAACGGCAGATAATGGGTGTGGAAAAAAAGTCCATCCTGTTATCCTGTGTAGGGTTAATCTCAAAATTTTAGATAGTGGTCTTAACATTATGAATCCTTCTCTAAACTTTTCATCTCAGTCACAAATTCTGCCCTGAGATTAACAAATTCAATTCACTCGCTGGTTGCTGGGAGCAGAAGTAATCTCTGATAGTGATGTTTTTTTTGTGGTCGGAAGTAAGGACTGGTACTTGGGGTTGTGCTAAATGAGTTCTGCTTTATTTGACCTTGCTGCTTGAATGAAGTTATTTTAATGTCTGACTTGTTTTTCTCTCAGAAAGAAAAAGAAGCCATTGCAAACAGGTGGCAGATGTAAATATGTTTTTTAATGTGCTTTGTAAACTGCCTCTTTCCAGTGGTGTGCTATGTTTGGAGACCCACACTGATGGTTCATTTGCTATGGTTCATATTTCTTAGTAAATGCCATTCATTCACATACTGAAGAGGTGGATGACAGAGACCATTTTAGTCCTGCACAGTTTATTACTGATAGTGTAAAAAAATTTTACCCTACAGCAAATGGATCTTAGTTACTCCTAAATGTGCAAAAATACCAAAGTCATAAGTTTTAGATGAAAGCAGAAATAAAAAGGTTCTTATGTGTTGCAAAATTATTTCAGCCATAAAAAAAATGTATTACTTGAACTAATCAGATGTTTAGTCAGGTTCTGCTGTTTGTACTGTGACCCAAATTACTCTCTAACAATCCTAACTGGACAAAATAAATCTTTTAAAGTAAAATTATAAATAACTTGTGAATATATTCCTTTGTATAGGTTTATATGCATTATATATAATTATATGTGTCTTACACACTAATATCTATGTTTAATTAGACAGCCTGAAACCTCTGCAAGTTTTGTCCTCACTTAGACTGCTTTGCTTTCTTAGGTTATTTTCAGGTCCCTTACTTTGTAGGATTCTAATTATCTAAAGCACTTTCATCAAGACTTGTAAACCTTTGCAAAACATCTTGCTCCACTATAGAAATTCACTGACTTGAATGGAAAAGGATGTCCTGTGTTACTGTTGTCAGTGTTGTGGATGAGGTGAAAAAATCTTGTTGTTCTGCTTCCTTAATATATTCGTTTCTTTCCAAGGATTGCTGAAGCTGCTGCCTACAAAGGTTATATGATCTCAGCAACCAGTTACCTTATCTCTATCAAAGTGGAACCTCGACCCAAGTTGTCCCACAATCTGTCAGGATCTCCTCTTATTACCATCCAGCTGACTCACCAGTTGGTAAGTGAAATGGAAACTCCCTGTTTAGGCTATTGTCAGGGCTGTTCAAAACTTTGGTGTCCGTGATGACTTCTTTGTATTTCTCTTATAATTTTTGTGGGCATTTTTAGTAGCAGTTCAGATGACATTTGTGACTACACTATTATGTTTTTTCATCCATTACACTTCAGTAACTTCTGTTTCCATGACTGCAAGAGACTGATTAGTGCACATGTTGAAAAAGAAGGTGGAGAGACAAGTACAGGTTTAGGCCTTTCTGTATGTGGTGTTGTATGGATGTTTGTGCAATCTACAACAGGGTGGTATGAATTACTGCTTTCTCTTAGAGCTGCCAAAACTAAGAATTCATGTATGGCGTTTGCTTTTTGTCTTGAACCACATTGAGGTAAACGAGGTGTTTTGAACGTTCTCATGAACAAATGCAGAGAAGGAACTCGTTCAAGGGCAAATACAAGTATGATGGGAAGAACATCTCCTGGGAGAGGAATACAGCAGGTTCAACACCTGTTCTAGGGTGAACTGTCCTTTCTAGACAGCAGAGCATTCCGAATCTGAGAAATGAGAGACAAGAAATATGAGTATCTCAGAAAACTTTGAGACAAGTTTTATTCAAAGGGTTCCATTTTGATAAGAGGTTTCAGTTTCACCAAATTAGCATATTCAAGCAAGAAACTGGAAAAATAACTGGGTTTCTTTGATTTTGGAGACAAAAGGCATCTCTGTCTTGTCAGTGGAAAAGGGAATAGGTGAGTTCAAACTCTGAGGTGTTGGCATGAGGCACGCAGCCCCTATGGCTTAGTCCTGAATGTAAATGGAAAAGATTTAATTTCCTAAATGTTTCATGTTCTTTCGAATATTTTATTGTATTATTCTTTCAGTGGCTGTTTTCAAGCCAGTTTATCATTTTCTTGTTAGGTTTCTCATAAAGATGAAGGAGGTTACAGAAAACAAATATATGAAAAAACCTTAAAGCGTAAAAATGGAAAGTGTTGTTTTGCTGACAGTTTTTCAAACTAAGGACTTCCCTGAATGTCCCTCGTGGCCTCTTAGAGGTGGTCAATTGCAAAGTGAAGACAGTATTTTATGTAGATAATATAAAATGTGTATTGCTTTATTTATTCAGGTACCTCCTCATGCTTTAGTATGATGATTTACTAGCAGGCTGTGAAACCTGTGGGGTTTTTTTCTTTATGCCTGTTGACATACACTGAAGATCACTGCGATCTTGGTATACAGACAGAAATTTCACATTTATCATCTGTCTTTCTGTTTTAGTCAGGAGAATCCATGGGAATGTGGTATGAACACGTTTGCCTGACATATCCCGTGTATAACAGATACAGGTTGATTGGCAGTTTCAGACTCTGCCCAGAGCAGTGTGTGCTTTATATTGTGCATTAGGGGGGTGGCTGTTTTCTCTTCCAGAGCTGTTATTGGCGATGCATTCACAGGCAGCCCTCCATTCTCTTACCCTAGTATCTCTACAGTTGCTTCCGTTTTGGGGACTGCTCAGGTCTTACTAACTTAAGGTCTCACTTAACTCAGGTCTTACTTAACTTACCGCCAAACACGTCTTCAGGTGTGAATTGGTTTTGGTATTTCGTGGTTTTTTTTCGCATGTCTCTTGGTTTTGGGTGTGGTTTTGGTGTTATTTATTTGTTCATTTATTTATTTTAATTTTTATAATCCTGTTGGGAAATGGGGAAACATCCCACTGTGTTTACAACATGGAAAATGTGGCTGAATGCAGCCTGAAATCAGTCCATAAGCACATTTGTATTCAAAGTTCTGAGAATTTTAATTATAAGTGGAGGTATATTTATAAATGTGCAGTGACCTCTGTTCAATACACTGTACTGGGGTAATAAATTGGCCAGATTTTGTTGTTAGGCATGAAACTGTGAAAGGAGACGGATGAAAGACATAAGGCACACCTCAGTGAAAGACAAGGAACATTTCAACCCCTTCCTTACTCCCTCCAGTTAATAACAACCTGCTGGCTTTTATATATTATTAACTGGTAGCACCCTGTGAATTTGGTGAGACATTCAAAAGATGCCACAAAGTTGTGTTCCAGAAATATGGATAGAAACTTCATAATCTCTTTGCGTTTTACTGAATTTACTTAAGCAGGTTGGGCAATGACTGCATTTCTGAAACCTTTCATATTGCAGAAGCACAGGTCCTTTCTGTCATATTAAATACTATTTCACTCTGTCAGTTAGTTCAGTATGATCACTCATGAAATAAAAATAGAATTTAAAATGTTAAAAAAATCTGGCTGCAACATTACTGTATTAAAGTATGTACTTTAAAATAAAGAGAAACAGCCAAGCTATTTATGCAAGTTTATGATTGAATATAATGATTAAACCAAGAATATTAAATCTGTCTTAGAAATCTGTTTGACCCATTAAAATACTGCTTGCTTGCTTAAAATAATGGGAGAAACATTTGAAGTGGATACCAATCTCATTCTTATAGTTGCCTGTTTGTTCCACATAATGTTCTCAATTTAACAGAGAGAAAAGTGTAATAAAAAACCCCAAAGTAATAAATAACAAGTCCAAATAAATAGTTTTGCTCTTTTAAAATTTGAGTCTGAATGTTTTCAGTTGGTCTGATTTAGTTATAGCTACTCAGGTAGAGTCTACTGGAGTGCAGAAATAGAAGAATGAGAGGAGTGAAAGGAGAATAAGGTTTCTTGTACAGACTGTAGTGATGCTTGGCACAGCTTAATAAAACTTTAATTCTTTTTCTTTTAGTGTGTATTGGAAAAATGCCAATCATTGAGCAACAGAAAACAAAAGGGATAAAATATAACATTTCTATTTTAGGAAATAGTTACAAAGAGGATGTCTGTGAACTGAATATCACCTCTTGAATCAAATCTTGACAGAGCATTTATCACTCTACAGCCTACTCACTGTTTGCTAAATCTTTTCTTAGGCAAGGGTTTTTCTGGGTTTCTCTGAAATTGTCTGCATTTTTAATGCCTTTTTTTTTTGACCTTGAGAGATGATTAAGTTTGTTTCTTTTTGAAACCTCAGGTAATGCAAACTGATGCTAATCTAATCAATTAGCGAAGAAGGCAGGGAATATTTATAAACAACATATGAATGCTCCCTTTTCTAAAATGCACCGTGGAGCAGTGGGCACAGGGTGCACAGAAGAGATGGGTGCCCAGCCTGGGAGACAGGCTGGAGGCTAAACTGGTGCTGTGGAGCACAGGAGCTGAGAAGTCACCTCATTTAATACATACGCTGTTAATGTGATGAGTACAAGGACTAGGGAGACTAAACTACAGACCCACCTCCATCAGAGAGGACACAGGAAGAGGACACCAGTAATTACAGTCATTATGCCTTGATGTTCAGGCTTGCAGCTGGATTCTCACGGGACCAATATTGCTGGTAGACATTCTTTCTACCAACAGAGCAGGCAGAAAATTTTCTGGTCAAGCTCCCAGTAGTGGAAAATGGTTTTCTGACTTAAAGTAGAAATCTCATGAATCAGAATGAATAAGTTACATTTTTATTGTGTGAAAAAAAATTGGGTGACTTATTTAATTCTTCTTAAGAAGTAAAGACTCCCTGTGGATAGGATAGAGATGTATGTTTTAATTGTCACCATTCTAACAGCAGTTTATTTTGTTGCACAATCCTGGGAACTGTTTTTTCTTACTTTCTTTTACTTTTATCTTATGAAATTATTAACAGCATTAAAAAGATTGTTTTGCAAGAAGACGTGATTAAGTGTTTTATTTCTGGTATTCTGAGGAATGCTGATCTGCTATTTCTATCCACAGTGTCCACTTTTATAACACAATGACATAGCTGGGGTGAAAAGCAATTCTCATTTTCCTTCTCTGTAGATATAAGATAGCTTTCCCTGTGACGGCTGGAGCACCTCTCCTATGAAGAAAGGTTGAGAGAATTGGGCTTGTTCAGCCTGGAGAAGAGACGGCTCCGGGGTGACTTTCCAGTGCCTGAAGGGGCTACAACGAAGCAGGGGGGGGGACTTTTTACAAGGGCCTGTAGTGACAGGACAAGGGGTAA